TTGGGAGAAATATCTTGTCATGAAGAAATGAATCCTAGGTTTTGTTTCTTTACAGAAACAACTTTATATGATAAGATCTTGGTAAGAGGATGTGATTCAAAATAGAAAAGAAACATCAATAAGAGTAAGTATATTAAAATCAATAAAACCAAGCCAAACCTGCTGTTGTTGAGTTGATTCCAACGCATGGCAACCCCATATGTTATGGAGGAAAACTGCTTACTAGAGTTTTCTTGGCTATAATTTTTAAGAAAGCACATTGCCAGGCCTTCTGTGAAGCTTCTGGGTGGGTTTGAACCCTCAACCATTAGGTTAATAGGGAACACAAACTGCAACACCCAGGGACCTATATTAAAATCAACAGGCATCCTTAAATGGAACATATATCTAAAAAAAAATAATAATAATACAAATGCTTATTTTAAGGGAGCTACTGGATGAAAACTAACAGTAAATAAACTTTTTTTAAATTAGTAAGATTTCAACATTTACTTTTGTTTTATAAAATCTTAGTTTAACTGCCAATGTTTTTTGTTCTTCTCTAAGAAGGAACATTTCTGTTAGACCAAGGTGTCAAGTGTCACAGCAGGTGAGCATGAGGACCAAATAGAGGAGGTCAATCATGTTCACAGTCTTTGTAAGCAAAAGTTGGTACCATGACCAGCAATATAGTTGAATTAGAGCCCCTCTCTCATAATTCTTAATGGTTTTGGTTGTCAAGACACTCATAAAGTAGGTTATGTTCTTTACCGTTATTTATTGAAGCAGCTGTTAAATTAATGAAGTTGGTTTATTTCCCAACTATGATTAAGATATGTTTATTTCTGCTTCACAAAACAGCTGTGATGTAAGTACTAAAAATGAAATTCTAAAAAAAAAAAATAAAAATTAAATTAAAGTCATCTCTTTGTTTTTTTGGCTCAGTTCAAGTAAAAGTGTACTTTTGGATCTGCATGCTTTATTTATAGTTATAGGGAGCACTAGTGTGTATTGGGAATTGCAAGATTTTCATTTCTATTTTAGTACTTTCAAGCTCACCATTTTTATTAAATAATACCGAGGATTAAGATATTAAAACAGAAAATATAAATGCTGGAAGTAGTTCTTGTAGACAAAATAGGTGATCCAAGAAAGACTATTAATCCAGATTTGAACTGAGTATTTATATGTGTTCCCCCACATTTTACACCACAATTTGGTGAGATACTACAGTAGTTGATCTAGTAACTAGAACCTAGAATCTCATGTGAGTCAAATGAAGAAAAAGAGAAAAGAGGGCATGATTTAAGGAAAAAAATCTGTAACACAAATAAGACAAAAGCTTTAAGGCAACTCAACTGCTACAGATGTGGCTGCATCTGCTTGCTTGCCCACTGGGGACTAGGAGATAAAGAGATTAAGACATTTACACAAAGATGGTTAGACAACAAGATCAGATAAGCAACATGACAGCCAGGTGGAGGTACTATAACCATAAAACCTATTGCCAATGAGGTGATTCTGATTCAGTGACCCTATGGGACAGAGTAGAACTGCAAAATAAGGTTTCCAAGGCTGTAGTCTTTACAGAAGCAGACGTCCACATCTTTCTCCCACACAGCGGCCAGCGGATTCAAACAGCCGACCTTTCAGCTAGCAGCTGAGTTGCTTAACCACTGTGGACACCAGGGCTCCTTACTATAACCAGTGTGGAGAAAATGGTCCATCAGACCACTTAACCCACTTAGAAACAATATGTTAAATTCATTTACTCTTCAAATTATATTTTATCAGGATAGAGAATGAGCTGATTAATTCAAAAAGTCACTGACATGAAATAGAAGGCAACAAGTGATCCTTTAACAATGATTTTTTTTAAGTAAAAAGCATAGAGATTTTATCATAGGGCATGAATACTTTCATATCTTTCAAAGACAATTCTAAGTCAGGACAATATTTTAAAATCCCATTTTAATATGAGAAATAATAGAAATTGTTGGTTATAACACATGTGAAAAGATTTTAATGAGTACTTAGGAAATTTAAGTTATTGTGTTTCTTCTTGGCGGACTTTCTACAAGATGTTTTCTGCTTCTTTATGCACTGCTGTTTTTCTCTCTAATTTCTGAAGCTGACCTGTGGATATCATGGAGTCCTGGTGGCACAGTGGTTAAGAGCTGGCTGCTAACCAAAAGGTTGGCAGTTTGAATCCAACAGCTGCTCCTTGGAATCCCTATGAGGCAGTTCTACTGTGTCCTAGAGGGTCACTATGAGTTGGAATTGACTCGACAGCAATGGATTTGGTTTGATATGGGTGTATATGAGAAAATACAGAAGTCTACATGTTCTGTAGACTTCTCACTTTCCAAACTCAATATTTAAAAAATGTAAATCACAAAAATAAACTCCACATAGCAAAATACTAGATTTTTTTAGAAAGATATAGAACTCAGATAGGCTAATATTGCATGTATTACATAAATATTTAGCAATACTAATATAGAAAATATATAATAATATAGAATATATAATTATATAATATTACAAAATGGAAAGTTATAGAAGAGGTCAGAATAAATATAGTAATTCTTTCTCAGTTCTCATGAAATGTGGCCATGTAACCTAATCATGCCAAATAACGACTTGAAGCTAACATTCTAAATGTGAACTAAAAGAAATAGATTTTACAATCCTAATTAACCAGAATCAACAACTGTTTTTCTCTCCTTCCAAATTATCAGATAACCTCTAAAGGAAAAGTGCTATTATATTATCAACTTGATTAAAAAATATGTTCATGTCCTGCTTCCTTTATAAAAAGTCAAAACATCATTAGTATTTAGATTCTTTCATTAAAAAAGGAGAAAGATTTAACCTGTCTCCATCATTTGAAGCACAAATTTCCATTTCATATTAATTGTGGGATAATGTCATGAATCATATGACTGTTAGTGTTTTCTTCTTTACATTGGCTACTAACAATTTTACTGGTAAACTTAAGGCCATTTCTAGTAAAATGAAAATACACTTTTCTCTAAAAATTCCATTCCTGGGCTTCATCTTATCTCTTCTACTATCACTTTATGCCTTGATTTTCGTGACCTACAATTTTTTTTTAGGTCAATTAATTTCTATAAATCAACTTAAATCCTTTCTGGCATAAGGCTGGTTGAAAAAAAATATAATGAAATATATGATAATCATTCCAAATGCCAATATTATCACATCACCTGTAGTATAAAGGTGTTCTAGGAAATAAAGAAAACTATCAACAAGCTCACCCTTTAAATCGTCCTTTAAGGCTGTACGTGTTCAATTATTTTAAGCATTTAAAAGCAAAAACCTCACAGCATAATTAAAAAAAAAAGGCTTTTAAAGCTTTTATGTGTTGAATCTATTTTGTGACATATTTAAAGAGGTTATAAAAGTCCTGGTGATTCTGTCTGTGAATCAGCTACACTTGATGTGAGAGTGGAGCCAGTGAAGCAGAGATAAAGCCCAGAAAAGTTGAATCTCAAAAACAATCCCTCAGTTAACACACAAAGAGAATAACGTAATTACTGGAAAGCGGGAAAAAGAAAATAAAAAGTATGGAAGGGTAGAGAAGCATTAAATGTGAGCACACGCATTTGTCTTTGCTATGGAACAAGAAATCAGCCTAGTTCCTGAGGGTAGCCATTAAATGCAGAGGCTGGGTGTTTGTACAACATCCGTGGAAAAGCCAAGAAACAGGAAAAGACTAATTTTAATTACCAGAAAAGCTGCAAGAGAAAGAACACAGAGCTAGTGGTAGAAGGCTTCTAGCTACAGGCTGTATGGCACTGTACTCCTCTTGCCCATTAGAGCCAGTCAGACCCCATTGGGGGATTAAATGAGCGGAAGAATTGGCTCAGTGCAGGGTCAGGCTGGACTCAGACACACAAGAAAAGCGGACACCAACGGACACCGGGTGTGACCCAAGACTCCCATACAGTTATATAGATATACAGAAATAGGAACACTACGTGGGATTTCTTTTCCACTAAATACGGGTGCCAAACGCATTACCTATGGCAATATATCGCAAAGGAAATGTAGTATAATTCGTTCAGCACACATTCAATTAACACTGGACAAATCGACAGAATTAGAGACTGACTCAAAGACAGAGAGGAAAAGCAGAGGGGAGGACTGGCAGAACAATGGCACTAAAGCTGCCATCCTGTGGATTTACTACCTGTGTTATTTTTCCAATTACAGCCATTGTGATATAAAAATTCAGGAAAAAGGGGTGCTGTCTGAGAGTAAGCCCAGCTATTTCCTTAGCTTTTTTAGAACTGACACACTGACACGGGGTGGGAGGTGGGGGTGGTGGAAGGGGGGAATCAAGGAGAAATAAAAACAGCCAGAGCCTAATAGTCCTTAGGTAAGATTCACAAGTGCATAAACAAAGAGAAGCCCTTCACAGTCAGGACCTAAGAAAATTCTCCAAAGTAAAAAAGTCTACTATGAAGCCAACCTAAGTGAATACATCGGTCTGTACTGCTGCTGTCAGAGGTATAAGCAAAAGACTGGCAATCAGAAAGAAGAGAGAATCAGCAGGCCAGGGGAGGAAGGAACTCTTGTCTGCGATCTCCCGTGCAGTAACCAGCCAACACGTTTGCTTTGTAATCTATGAATGTTAAACACAGAGAGGTTGCAGAGCCGGCCAGGAGAGGGAAGGGGTGGGGGAGCGGGGAGAGGCTCCGTACTTAAGGGGGAAAGGGTATACCAGTTGACTAGTGAGACGAGGAGAAAAACATAAAACCTTTCTTGAGGCAAACAGTCCTTTAAGCCCTAGGACATGCTAAATGAACCTTCTCAGCGAGAGACAGTGAGACTCCGGGCGAGGGCAACGGCGACAGCACGGGCGAGCGGGGAGGGGCGAGGGACCGCTCCGGGAGGACACAGCCAGTCAGAGGCGCGGGGCGCGGGGCGCGCGGACGCATTGGAGGAAAACACTCGGGCCCCAAATACACCAGCCAGAGGAGGCGCCGCACCTGCTTTCCAATGTAACCAACTACAGAGTGGGGGACTGTAACTGCGAGAAGGAGGCAGCCAAAGTGCCATTAAAGCTCTGGGGGAAAGGATGCATTACCTGGGTCCCCTCTTCAGGGAGAAGCAGGGAAAGCTGGAGGATTCCCTCTGAATGGTTAAAAACTCCGCAGTTCTCTTCTGCCACAGGCTGAGAAGGACTCCCCAAAACCTGCTCTGTTTGAACTGTGCCGACTGGCAGGAGGATGGGAGACAGGAACTGAGAGTCACAGAGGAAGGACAGGGGAGTCTGGCATCTCATTGGTAAGTGGCTGACATTCCTTTGCCAGTGACTGCTTTCTGTGATTGTGCACTTCATCTCCCAGCCACTTAGGATTTTTGACACACTCGCTTCTGCAAAGCCATCCTTTCTTGCTATATTGCCAGAATGTAAAAACTGTAACATGAATTTTTTATTTTAATTAACATGCTATTTTTCTCTGTTGGTATTTAATGTTAGAAAAGTTGAACCAACAGTAAATATAACCTATTTGTGCAAGTTGCATAATGTCACCAAATATAAAAGTAAACAATTGTTACAACTAAACTGTGAGGTGATAAATGCTAGGATAGTGTAAGAATTTGTCTACAAAAGAAACCAAATGTTCTGAAAATAGGATGCCGTTCTCAGGTATTGAATGTATGTCTTGCCTTATGATTGAGCAATGTGTTTTTGAGAATGGAGCCCACATAATTGTTAAAATTCAGTAAGGATGCTCTACAAATGAAGTTGTATGAAGTTCTGGATACTGAGAAAAGCAATGTCTTGGATTATGCTGAGCTTATTTCTAAATGATGTATAGGAATATGATAGATTAAAAATAGTATAAACATATGTTGTGACAGTCCAATTGAGTTTTAATTGGGAAAAGTGGGAGAGAATATTAATTTGCACATATATGAACATGGTATACAAAATGCTGAGAATTGATTCTGACAACTTAATATATTTTTAAGTTATTCTGACTAATTGTATTTTGGAAGAACAAGAATCAACTAAAGGATTTAGAATTATTTTAAAATTTTATACAACCTCTAGCATGGAAAATACAATTCAGTGTGGCAACTTTAAATGCAGGCTTGGAAGCAAAAAATTTTAAAAAAAAACTTTTAAACTGCAATTTGTGCAATACTTTACTTAAATTCAATTCCTGTATTTGTTTCTTAATTTTAAAAAAAAATCATTTACAGATGTCATACTTCTACCTTGATTCTCAGTTTTACCTGGGAGAGTAAGAATGAAGAAAGTAGATGTTCGTTGAGATAATAGCATTTAAAAAATACAGACAAACAGTGAGTTAAATTTTTAAAAATAATGGAGATATAATTAACTACTGTTGAAATACAGCAGAACTACAGAAATACTTTGACTATTACAGCAGCCTTAAAGGAGTTCATCATGATTAATATTGTGACCCTTAATATGAAAGAATTAGTAATGATTAGGCCATTATTTTTCCCACAGTGCCAGAAGTCAACTTAGGCAGATGTTTCTTTCCATATTTTCCTATTTCATGATCAAATTATTCTTATTGTAAGTTCTGAATGGACTACTACTATATTAAGTCTCAGACTTGACAGGTATATGTTTCCCCTCATTCAAATGGAAGAACAAAAATAATGTTGTTGACTATGTAAGAATGTGGTAAATAAAGTAAGTGATTTAAAAAAAAAGATATTACATGTAAAGACTAAACCTAGTGAAGGAAATAAAGTACAAAATTCAATGTTAAAAGTTAAAAAGAGGGAATGTAATGTAAAAATAAAATAGTATATGAAAGGTAATTTAGCTGAAGTGTGGTGGGGTAATATTTAAGGTATATTTGAAAATAGAGAGTCAGTGAAATGTTTATTGTAAGTGCCATTGTTTTTGTGTGGAGGAGGGAGACTTAATTGTTCTTATTTTAAAACTTACGAAAACTGGAACTTGATGAGAAAGCCTACTAGTTTTAATTTCTCTTTGATTCCATAGACAACTGAACAGCAAGTTAGAATTGTTAAAAGTTGGAAAAAGGAACATTACCACAATAGAGTAACCGAATGCACAATTTTGTTTCTAAGTTGCAAGGTCCATGCATGTCAAGGTGCTTTTAGAAATATATTCTGAAAAGCTACAGTTGTGGAATTTTTAAATGGGTGGCTGAAACACCTGAATGTGTCCTGAGCTGAGCAATACTTCAACTATTAGGTATCTGACACCTTTATTAAGTTAGGAAGCCTAGCTAAAATTGAACCAAGAATATACATATAGAATATTGTTTATTTAAGAAGAATCATTAAAAATAAATTGCTCTTGAAAATTTATGTGAATTTTATGTTTACAGTTAACTGAAATTGTCTATTAGAAGTATACTAGGTTTCTATATTTGTCTGTATTTACCAGTTTAAAAAAACATTCACCACCTTCAGAGTAGAGATAAGAGTATGCTTTGATTTCAAAGCCAACTTAGCAATAAGAACCAGAGGGTGTCAGTAAAGGGTAGAGGGCTCTCCAAATGAAGAAAGTAAGGGGATGTTTTGCTGGTCAAGTTTATTGTGGAGTTCATCTTACTTCTAGATAAAACAAAAGGCATATTTCTGTGAAGTAAAAATAAAATGAAAACTTGTTCAGAAGGCTGTATTAATGTAAAGATGATTTGACTATATTTAACTGGCTAAAACAAAGTTTTATAGCGGAGTTAAGCGCCCCCCTAATCCATCAAAAACTAATCTAAGATTTTATGAGGCTGAGATGTTTAACATATTGTGATTTGCTGAATCCGTCGTACTACACATATTTTAATTACTATTGTCTTTGAATTGTCTTTTTCAATTTTTTTTTTAATTACTAACAAGTTGGAGGTGTATTTCTGCTAATTTAAATAGATTCATAGATTCTGAATTCAAGAGTTCACAATTACACGTCTCCTTCTACTTCCTGAAGATACAAACATAAGAGAGTTGTGTTTCTTGCAAGATGCATTTTTTAGTACCGTTTAGTGTTACAAAGCTGTGCTAATATGGTAGATAAACTTCTTAGCACTTTATAGCAGGAAAGAGGCTGGTCGGAAACTCAAAGCAGTAGAAATCCCTGCACAGGTCTATTTTCTGGCCATTTGTAATCAATAATTCTACATTAGAGGCTGGTGCATTTTAAAAAGTAATGAAGTGTATAAAACTCCTTAACACTTAAGATTTAGAATTAAAAACTCTTATGAACTACGCCCCGCCTCCCTACCTATCCACTTGTAATTGATTTCTCCCTTTTCATTTTTGAATATTCAATTTTACATTTCTAGAAAGGCTCTCATAAATGGAATATTATCAGTTTATACTTTTCCATACATGGAACTTTGTTAAACTAATTATTTTTATTAAAAATGAATAAAACAAATTTGGTAGTGTTTCATAGACACAGTGGATATGAGAATAATTTTTTAATGGCTTTATTGCATTTTTTTTAGAAAGCTATAGTTTTACAATTATATTCTTTCACCAAAGTTATTATTTTGCAGTATTGAATTATATCTCTTGCACTTCTTATAAGACTATATATGTAATTTTATTTTTGTTCTTCCTGTTTTAAATATTTGCATAAGCTAAATATAGAGCATTTTCACCCATATACACAACTATAAGTTAAAACTCAAGCCTTCACTTTCTTATTTCAGAGTATTGCATTTTTACATTATAGCCTAATTAAACATCAGGTCATAAGAATAAAGAACTAATCAAAACATAGAAGCTCCTCTTTTTTCCAATGCAGGGAAATGGAACTCTAGAAATAGGTCATAAAGTAACTGTAAAAGATAAATCAAAGTTCTGTTTGTTTTATGGAAATCAAAAACCCTATCTTTTTACCATTTCTTAATCTAACACAAGATAGTGTGAGATTTATCAATTTTAAGAATCATTAGAAATTACAGTCATGCTTTTCCCCCCATGTATTTCTTAAGCTGGAATTTTTTGTGATCACCATCATTTTAAACAGTTTCGAAGATGTTTCATTAGATGCATTTACCATCACGGGGGCAAAATTGATTTTTTTTTTTCCCTGTTCTTCTCAGTGGTCCCTTAATAATCCACAAAGACCTAAATAACTTGATGCCCTGTGGATACCATTATTTATTTATTTTTTCAACAAATGAACTTCTCTTACCAGATCTGACAGGACTTGCCCATTTTCTCTTATGCCAATCATGGTTCCAAATATTTCCCACACTTACTTGCATAGACCAATAAAAAGCTGAAATCTTGATAGAAAGCAAGGGACTAATGTGTTTGTATGAACTTTCCACCAATCATATCTTTAGTCTGTGTCTTTACTCTGAAATATGAACTTGCTTAAGGGTTAAAGTAACTAATCTGAACATTATTCAATTTTTAAGAATTGTATTCTGAGAAAGAAGGAAAATGAAAGTATTTTATTTATCTGAGTGATCAAAAACTCGTTCATAATCATTGGCTGGAAAAATATAATTATATGTATAAGCATATATGCTCTGTAGCATTCTTACAGCTGTTAAATGCTCAAGGAGAGCATCCCGTCTTCCATTATGAGCTAGTAGGAACTACACCATATGGAGCTTAGGAAGAGAATTTTGCTGATTACTTAGGTGATAAAAGGTGGACTGAAATTCTCTTCCTTTTGATAGTCAAAATATTGGCAGAAATATTCACTATGAGGCTAAATAAAACTAAGGGATTCATATTGAGGGAGATGTTATAATAGGATAACAATAGTAGTAATATGTCTACAGGCATAGCCAGATCTTTTAACATATTTTCACAAATATTTCACTATTTTCAGGAGTTTGTAGTTATGAGATAAATAGAAGAGAAACACTGTGTTTATTTGGTGAAAAATATACTTTTAGGTACATAAAGTTTCATCTTTATTTTCTTGAGTATTTAATTTTGTATTTAAAGTTTCAGCAGAAGAAGATCTTTTATGAAACTAAACCAAATATAAAGGTAACATTCGAAAGGTTTAGAAAAATATTTTAATTCTTCTTGGGTTTTGTTTTCCAGTTTTTATACAATAATTTATTTTCAATGACACAATGTTTGCTGAAACACTATTGTTCATTATCCCCTACAAAGTACAGGATTAGACTAAATCCCTGGTAGATAAAATGAAGATTAATTGGAAGATACAGATGAGTGACAGTAAGAATTTAAAAAAAGAATTCTAGTTTCCTAGAAAGAGAATTTTTGTTTAATTGACATTTCATGATCATTAAATTTGAGATGGTTTCCCATGCACCTGAAAAGATTTAAGTGCT